GGRAATCTTAAGTTCTGACTCGGTCTGATGAAATAAATATAAAATCTAAAGTAAATCTTGTCTATTCCCAGCTATCRTGCTGATGACAGTATTTAAATGAGTGCTTAAATGAGTATTTAAAGGAGTATTTAAATAGTGCTATCTACTCTGCAAGTAAAACACTTCATATTAGCTTTTATTCACAGTTATTATTTAATTTCATGTTTTAATAATGTTCTCACTTGTTAAAATATATGAATGACAAACAGGCTTACAAAAAATTGACAGGAGAACTTTACTAACGAAAATGCTTTTACTTGCATATTCAATGTGGAACTCTTCAAAAACTGTTTATCCAGGTTTCTGCCTGGAATAACTCAAGTTACTTATTATTCTGGTGAATCATTAGCCATGTTTATTATGTTAATCTGTAGGGTTTGTGACCTTGGAAAGGGTCATGAAATGGCACCAAATCAGATAGAGTGATTACCTGTGCCAAAATAGAACTGAATTTTCTGTGATCACATGTTTGCAAATGTGTTTTTGAATGAGATTTCAACCAAGTTTGGGGTATTGGCAATTCCTGCTAAGAGTAAAGTAAATCTGGGGACTCTGTCCTACTGCAATTTGCAGAAAGCTTTATGATGGAGTTAGCTGTTCTTGCTTCACATTCTTGATTTCAACTCCAGTTTGCTTGTTAGGCTTTGTTTTTCCTCTTAGCTCTTACTGTGGCTAGTTTATAAATTCTGCCAAGTGGGTTCCTATTTCCTAGGAGTGACTCTGTGCTGTGATGTTGGATTTTCCTGCCAGCCAGTTCCACGCTCCTGTTTCCCTGTGTCCCTGCCTTGGCCAAAGCTGCATTACCCAACCCTGCTTTGCTCCCTAATGAGTCTGTGGTCTCCTGAGACTGGACTGTCTCTTCTCTATTTGWAAACAGTCTTGGTCCAAAACTAGGACACAGCACACTGTTTTGCTGTTCTTACTGAAGTGCTAAAGATATTAAGAAAATTAGTAATCAGGAAACCTTTCATTTATTAGCAGATAAAAGAAACAGCAGTTCACACACATTCCTACTGCCTCTTCCCATCGCTTTTCAAAGAAGTCTATCTTGGATAAAACAGTGGCAAGCCCCGCCATAAGGAAAGTTCAGCTGAACACGAGATGGTGACTCTCTGATTCAGTTCACCGTACCCTAGAAGACACTTTTGCTTTCAGTAACTTTCCCATTTTTCTCCCAGGCACAGGGTAGCACTTATCTTACCTCACAGCCAGTCATTATTTCCATTTTATCCATCTACAAAGCAAAGGAAAAATAAAATGATCGGTGCCCTGAGAAGTTGAGGAGGACAAACTTTTGAGGTCTTTACAAGTGATGCAATTCCTTTGGGCTGATGGAGCCCAGGTAAATGGAAAGGCCGCATACGAGGGTTTTTTCAGCTGTAAGGAGTGCAGCCAAATGGGTGCTGGCACCCAGGCAGGAATGGAAATGCTTTTAGATGGCTCTTTAGGCAGAGCTGGTTGACTCTGTCTCAGACTCCTGCTTTAAAGAACATGAACTGTGGCAATTCAGTGCTTATGAAGTAGTAAAAAGAAACTTACCTTGTGTGTGAGGCCTTTGTCCCTCTTCTTCCTTCCCTTCTTGTGTTCTGCTCTCAACCTGGGGTGCGTTTTCCTGTTGCAGCAGCCCTGGTTTCCCAACACGCTTGGGCGTGTGGGACCCGGCAGCCCATGAGATGCGTGTCCTGCAGTGCCAGGCAGGATTCTCCATGGGATGGGAGGTATTTACGGAGGGAAACATCCGGGCATACACTTTATGCTCTCACTCTTTTTTTCCCCCCTCTTCAGATCCAATTATTTTTGTGTTTTTAGTGCAGCAATATCAAACACTACTTTCAATGTGCAGCTTTAGCAGCAGGGAGGACAGTGTATTCACCTTCCTGAATGATGCTACAGAACAGCCAGGACAACAAAACTGGCCCCATGGGAGGAAGTGAGAATTACGTAAAGAGAGAGAGACAGAGAGAGAGGGGAGAAAAAAAAAAAAAAGAAAGTGAACAAAAAGCCTTGCACAAATTTGTGTTAAACCAAAATTGATTGAAGTTTGATCCAAAGCAGGTGGAAAAAATGGAGGAAGGTTATTTGCAGCCTTATACCGTTTATTTTTACCTTAATTTTTTAGACTAGGTTGTGGCTGGGAATACGGACTTAGGTCAAGGAGAAAGAAATCTCTTGCAGTGCTAGGCAGGAACCGCCGACTCAGGGCAGGGCAGGCAGAAGCCAGTGGCAGCCTCGGGCATGCAGCCTGTCTGCAGTAAGGGGCAAGGCAGGCTTGGAGCTGAGGAGAGTTAAAAGCAAAGGCTGCTACCTGGGAGTCCAGYTTTAACTTTCTTGTGAGAGGCATCTGTAATAGGACAACTTTGCTCACTGTTTTTAGCTGTGCCCTTCTGCACAGGTGACTTTGCTCTTGCAGCAAATAATTCTTTACAGTCTGTGTAATGCTGATTTATTCGATCTGTTGTTTTTTCTTTAATTTTAGAAATGTTTTTTCATTTTTCTCTCACTTCTCCACTAGCTTTTAGTAGTTCATGACAGCTTTGAATGGTAAAGTGCTATTAAGTGTGAAAATAAAGATGCTGATATAGATTCACTGGCATTTACGCTCTTACAAATACCATGCATTTTATTCTGCATATTAATAGCTTAAATTATTGAAATGAACATCCAAGAGGATACCTCCAAGTACTCAAGTGATCTCTTCAAAGTAGTTGTTCCAATATTAACATTTCTTAGCATTGATTTTGGAGAACAGTATGTTATGCTCAGTGTCAATGCTTGGCTCAGAGATTCATCTAAATAAAAGGACCCTACTGGGTCCAGCTGGTGTTGGAGGAGGCTCCTGCTGTTCACTTCAGTTCAAGAATAAAAGTTGATTCTCCAAATCCATTTCATTCTTTTGATACAGCCCCGCTCTACCATGGTGGCTGCCTTTGCCCAAGACTACTGAATTAAATGGAAGTCRTTCAGAATGACTGCAAAAAAGCAACACAACCCTTTGATTTCGTCAGTGATATTTCCTCCCTCTTGTTTTCCCTCAGTGAAATTAATGGACAAAGAGATGTTAGTGCCATAAGAGTGGGTAGCATTGTGCTAATGCCTAAGAGCAAATGTCAAACTGCAGAAACGTCAGTCATGCATGGTTGCGAAGTGTAGATACCAGAGAGATGATTATTTTTGATAACTTTTCTTTGAAAACTTTATCATAAGCTGGAATACAATCCTGTATAAATACTGCACTCCATGGTGATATCTTGTTTTATCTTTAGAAGCAGAGCTTTGTAGCCTTGYGCAGTCAAGGGCACAGGCATGAGGAAGAGCTGCTCCCAAAAAAGAATGTAGAATGCATTTCAGAAATGGTCATACTGAAGAAAAGCTCAGAGCTGAGAGTCCCAGCACTAGGGAGCCATCATTCTCTCCAAGGATTTAGACATACATTTTCAGAATTAGTAAAATGTAGGAATATTATTTAGAATGAAAATATATTTTAGTAGAATAACAGGGCTCTAGTCTTTGAAAATCTGAGTTCAAAAGAAAGATTACCACTTAACTAGCAGCGAGATTGATACTTAAGAATAAACTTACTTAAGAATAAATTTTAATTCCAAGAATCTTTAAAAAAAAATACTTAAAATATTTTGTTGAAGTACAAAAACTTTGGAAGCTGGACRTAAGAAAGCAGCAGGGACCCAGATTCAAGGTCTCCGCTATGCGAATAACCTTGGAGGAGACAGCAGCAAAGACGACCTTAGTTTTTGCTCCTTGTGAATTTTATAGCCCTTTCATTTTGCGTGTGCTGCTGTCAGACTTTTGTATTGACTTTCCTCTCTCTTCTGCCTCTATTTCTTGTTTTCCAGACCTGTCCTTGTTGTCTCTTCAGTTTTTGACTCACCTCTGCCCTGTTCTTGCCATTCCTGTCCACGTTTTTGCATGCGTGCTCCTCTCTTTTCAGAGCACATTGTTTTTCCCTTGTTCCTCTCTCCTTTCTGAGTTATTGTTCTGTTTCTAAGATATACTACAAGCATAAGCTGTTTCTCTGTTCTTTCTGAAGAAGTGGGGATRGTGGTAGCTAAAGTCAGTATTGCTGGTGCTTGTCATTAATTTTTAAACATATTTCYTCTTTTCTACTGCATGCACGTACTATTTCTAAGTATCCTTGAATTATCTTAGGGAAAAAATAATTCTAATTGCTTTTTGGCCCTTACAACTGCTCTGGTAGATAAATTAGGGCAGTTCATTCATTTTTAACTGAAAAGATGTTTTTTCCATCAAAGTCTTTTTGAAGGATAACTTTGCTTGAACTCCCCTAGGAAGCTGTATTCCCAAAGAGTTGCATTTTATCAGCTGAAATATTATTTCATCCAAGTTTGCTGCAGCTCACATCAGAAAAAAATATAGATGTAGCCTGAACATTAATCTCGGCTCAACAGTGGAAGATAAGGGAACAATAGTCGTGCCTGGGGATACTGGAGGCGGCTGGGGGAGCTTTGCCTGTTGTGTTCCCAAGCCAGGGTGCATGGAAATTAGCAGGACTGTGGGAGGCAGCCGAGGTGCCGCCGCAGCAGGAATGTGGATGGGGTACAGAAGTTCAGGAGAGTGGGGAAAAGGAAGTGCGAGCTCCAGGGAAGCCCTGGGAGCTTCGTGTTCACACTGGGAGCCCCTTTCTCTGGCTGTTTGTTGGGGTGTGGGTGACCAAATGGCAGCAGCCTTTACCCTGCAGCATGTGGAGCTGCCTGTCCCCTGCCCAGTCAGCCACTCTGGAGCCAACAGTGTCCATAGCTAATTAATAATTGGCTTAATCTTATCCTGAAATTCAAATGGGCTCCAGAGGGCAGCAATTTTTGTCTCTGTTCACTCTTCCCCTGTAGCCTCGCTCAGGAAGGTCCTGCTGGGCTCGCCTGCTGCTGCAAAACACCTCTCCGTTTCCTAATTTCTTCCCCTTTAAAGGCTGTAAATGAAATGAATGTGCTTAGGTTTGCAGTTTAAAGTACAATCACGTTTGGGTTCTTAAACATTTTGAAGGTGTCTTGTAACAGAAAAGGATACTTGTGGTCAAAGCCATACCAAATTCTGAACAGCCACGCGCTCTCTGCTTTGGTTGTATTTTTATCCAGGTTGGATGCTCTCTGCAAAATAAGCAAGTGCATAAAATAGAAAGTGTTTTTAAAACAAAGTAAAGTTTCAATATCAAGAATAGATGTCAAACCAAATGATAATTAACTTTTTTTAATGTAAAAAGCCTTTTAGGCCAAGGAATATGATTTCTGTGCATCAATTCATGAGCAGATTGGCTCATGTAGTGCATTTCTTATTGCTATATACTCATTGGAAGGCTTCAACATTTACTTTTAATTATTAAATAATTGGTATTAATTATTCCAATTTTATTAAGCAGCTGCAAAACACTACATTTTGAGATCAATAAAATGATATTTCAATATAATTGCTATTGTGGGATTACTTCAGTTTACTCTTTTCAGCTCAGATGCTATTTGTGTACAACTAGCAAAATGTCATTCCCAAAGCGGTCATGACAGTCTAATCATGACAACTTTCCTTTCTCCTTTCCATGGTGAATATGGCAACTCTGGGAAGCAGGAGGTAGTCTTAAGAACTGATATATGCTGCCTCAAAACACTGTCCTACATTCTACAAATTAATTCTGGGAAGCTCTGTACAGATATATGGGCCGTCCTTTCACTCAAGGTCATAATTTGGGATAGTACCTTAGTAACAGTCCTCTGTGCAAAGGCAGCTGCTTTGGTTGTGTGCTGGGCATTGCATCAATATGAGCAGAAGAATTAATGGCAGGATGGGATTAGGAATGGGAATGCCAGGTCCCTAAAGGATATTCCAGTAGTGCCCTGATGCTGTTTTGCTGCAAGTTAGATTATGCTTTAATGGAAATGCTTTTCCTAATGCAATTTCAAGGCAACTCTTCTGATCATTTTTATATTTCAATCTGATATGTTCAAAACTTCATTTCTTATTGTACATCAACATGCATGTAGATTAATGTTAACAGTCTGTGCCTTAAAACTGTAAGGGCTAAATCCAGTACAAATAGTTCAAATATAACCTGTACATAGGAACTTTTACATTGATTTAATGTTATGTTGTATGGCAGTGTTGACTAGAGAGTGAAATCATGACTGATCTTGGTATTGCCCAGTGCTGGTCACAGGGTATTTAAAAATGCACCAAATAGGCTGAATATTATTCTTGAGAGTTGATTCCTTGTGATGATTGAGTGTTTCAGGGTCATGTCTGGCAACTGCAACAGCAGGAATAGATGGTGCTAATCCTACACAGAGCAGCAGCAAACTCCTCCGAGCCCCTGATACCCAACTGTGTGTTGGTAAGATAAGTGGAGACTGAGGACAGTGTTAAAGCGTTTAAGCTTACAATAAGTGCAATGGCAGGTAAGAGCTATGGCAGGTCTGTATTTTAAAAAGGTGTTTTGGGTGAGCTTCTTTAAGAAGACATAAAACAAATGGAAATCAAAGGAAAGCACTGAAATTAAGAGGAGGGTGTGGAGGAAGTTTGGACAGGGATAGAGATGAGAAAAATGAGCATGGAGCAAGACATGAGAGAGTAGGTGTCACCTTTGGGGGAAAACGTGTAAAAGTGAGATTAAAAACATGAAACTCTAGAAAACTGTGATTAAAAGCTTTACTTTGTAGTTACTTCAGCAAATTGGTGCTTGATGTGACAAAGCTGTATGAGATGCAAGCAACTGAGTCACTAAAGTCAGGAGGCATATAGTTTGGAAAATCATGGAAGGAAAGAGAAAATTCAAAGAAATAATCTGAAATAAGTTGAACAATAATGATGGGTACGGAGCTGAAACAAAGATTAGAGGGAAAACAGCAGAGGTCTGAGATAATAAAAGGCTGAGATGTCAAATAGAAGAAAAATCAGGAAATGAAAAAAGACCATGGTGGAAAAAGAAAATCAGAGCAAAAAAACAGCCTTCCAAAGTAAGGTTTGCTGYTATAAGTAAGGCTGTTTTAGACATGACAGGGCATGATATGTGTTATATTTATCTACCCCTAGCGTATTGTATTGCTGAGTTTTGTCAACAGAGCGAGGTGTTAATTCACAGGGTGCAGTTGGGATACTGGGTGTGTTTTTGATATTCATGAGTGTTTTTCATTTTTAATATAACAAGGAGAAAATGAGAAGCCTTTTGAATTCAGTAGATTTTATACTTTGAAAATAATTCACTATCTGCTGTTTAATAATTCATGAGTGCTGTCAAGTGGATATTTTATGAAATTATATAATTTTGAAATGCAATCAAGATTAAGTTGAGGTTAATACTAAGGTTTTGGACCATAGTCTTGGTGAGGTTGTGGACACGGACTTTGCATGAACTTTACCAAGATGCTTAAAAGGGTGATATTAGTGAAAATTCTGCCTAAAGGTATTTTTCACATGTTTTCAGGTGAATTGCCATAACTTATTTCCACATTTATCTCACTCTTGGGTTATTTTACTATTGGTTCCAGCAGTGCAGTCTGAAATAGCATTTTCAGCACAGGTGGCATTAGGCATTTTTTTGCCTTTTGCTTTTGCAACTTAGCTAATGTAACATTGATTTTTCTCTGCTTCTCTACTTTTGTTCCACCTGCTGTGCTGAAGGATGTGTTATGTCTCTGTATTGACTGTCTTATAGATTTCTGCTGTTGTTGCAGTYAGTGCTGCATTTGAAACAATTTCATACGTATATGACAAAAAAAGAGGAGAGTGGTGGATGAACAGCTGCAGCTTGTTAAATAACTCCTTTAGTTTAAAGTTTTCCACTTCGCTAGGTACTCGGGTTGTTATGTGGAAAACAAATTGTATTTCCAGGAAACTGACTYTACTAGAAGTTAAAATTTGAACATTTCAAATTTTACTCTTTAATCCAGGGAATTGAATGTTGTTCTGAAATGTCTCTTTTCCATAAATGCAGCATTTGGGAGATTATAAATGTTTGGATTTGTCATGGCACTGCTTCCTTTTGTGTATTTGACCTCTTTATTTTTATTTGATCTTATTTACAATCACTTCAAAATTCTATAACTTTTTTGCTATATATTTCTTATATGTCAGTTGGTGTGTATGTCTATACATATGTACATACACACATATGTAATTTCTTCTACCCCTTGTCCAATAAATAGTTACAAAGTGTTTTGCARCTTCCACCATTTTAACCTGCCTGTTTAATTTTAAGTATAATGTTATTTTTTAGGYGTGTGATTTGCCAACAATTTAATAGCTTTTAATTCAGTGTATATGTACCTGAAATTGTAACATACCTGGTGTGCAGCTTCTGCTTTCAGATCTTCATCCGGATCCACACCAACTCTGTTAGAAACAAAATAAGAGATGGCCATGAGCTGCTGTAGGTTAGAGAGCAGTGTGGGTGAGAGCCTCTCCTGTGCCTCTCTTGCTCCACAAAGCAAGAAATGCAGCGAGGAGCTGGCAAAACACTAASATCTCTTTCTTAGTTAAGAAAGCTGTCCTTAATGAGTCCTTAGGAAACACAAGATTCTTTTTAATGTCCGCAATACCTGCGATTGGCGTTTTATTAACATGACAGGAAGAAAAAGCAAAAGAAAAAAAGACTTAAGCGATGGCAGCGTCAGGTCCTCTGAGCTAAAGCAGCAGTTAGTGATGCAAAGAAAATGTCTTATTCCACCAGATGTTCAGATAGGGCCCATCCCTGTTTTCTAACATCCTCTCGCGTTAACACCTTTTAAAATCATAACCATTACTTGGCTTGGCAACCTTTGCTGTAAATATTAAGCGCACGTTTGTAYGCAGCCAGGGCCAAGGACAGGAATGTATGTGAAGGACCTGCTTTTTATATGTAAATYCAGAGCGGAAGAGAACGGAGGCTTGTTTCTGTCACAGCTCTTGAGCTTCAGCAAATCTGAGTCTTCTGGGACTCAGGATTATTATTTTTTTTATCTTGTTGTCCTTTAAGTTGCTAGAAGAAGCTTYTAAGGGTGCATGATGTTAGTGATTTTATTAAATGTGCACTAAACAGGCTCAGTTTAGTCACTTCTGGAACTGAGGCTAATTATTTTTTATCCAGACACAGGCTTTGGAGCATGACATTGGGCACCTAGCACAGAAAATCATGGCCTGCCATAATTAACTCYGATATGCTAGATAGGAACTAGAATGCTATTTTTAAATTGCAAATTTTGAAAAAACAAAGCATAGCAAATTCCAGGAGACAGTTGAGACAAGTGAAATTAAGCCCAGACGTGCAATTTGAGCTTCCACCTTTGGCTTCCCCCTTTGGCTTCCTCAGAAGTCCTGGAATATCTTAATGATACTGCTACTACAGTGCGCAAACTTAAAACTGATTGCTGTGAAGACCTCTAAGAAATATATTATTGCCAGTTGTGTTATAAAAATCTTTTCCTCTTCTATATCCCTAGCTTTTCCCACTGGCTGAGAAAATAAAATGGATGGCCAGAAAAGTATTCTCCAATCTGTTTTTTCTTCTCTGATCTTACTTTTCAGTTTTGTTTCTCTTCTTCTATTGTGTTTTTGTATGTTCCCTTTTTCTTTAGTCTTGCTTTTCAAGCTCCTCTCTGTTCCTCCTTCCTTTATTGTTGGCTCTTCTATGGCTATTGTATGTATTTATTTCTGCTTTTCTGTTTCTGCACCTGCATTTTACACATTTAGCATTTTGGATGACCTTTCAACCAACCTATTTGGAATGAATATAGGTTAGATGGCTTTTTCTTTGTTATAAAACAGCAACTAAGAGAGATTTTAGTTTTCTTATTAAAACACTGGCACCACTGTGATCTTTATCAATTTTCATTGTTAGTGAAGCTATTGAGAAAGCTGAGCTTTTGTACAGGAATCTGTGTTTACTGGAATATGTTTCTTTAAGAGACATAGAAGCAGAAATATAATAGGATTTTTTTCTCCAAAAATACTTCTAAGATAAGGAAGTCAGGGGGGAATCTCTTCCTCCATCCTTCTCTGCTCAGACTTGTCTCTAGCCACAGACCTGGTTAGGCTCACTTGGGCAGAAAACCTTTAATCCTGGTTTCACAATAGGGTAAATGTTTTATRTTTTCAGAATATGAAATATGACATTTTACCGAGCAGATTTTTCATCATCAGCTTATTCTCAGGTTGCTTTAGATAAGCTGAGCAGCATAAGGACTGGTAGAAAGCAGCTGTAAGCAGCATACAATTTCTTTCCCCAACAAAATCTTCCTTTTTCTAATATCTGCTTCTCCTTATGTTTGTTTGAACCTGTGGCTTGGACCTGTAGTATTTGCAAACTAGGGCCTGTAATATCCACAAGTAATATGGTGGTTTGTTTAACAAGTGGCTGTGATTTGTTTAACAAGGAAGGGGCTTTTTTTGATCTCAGTAGTAGTCAGGCTTATTTCAGTTGCTGCCCATTACCATGAAACTTTTTTTCTTCTAAAGAAATAAGACTGCACAAGGTGGGAATTAGGCTTCTATTTTAATTTTCAAATATCCACTTTTCTGTTTCAGACTTTTCTGTTCTTGCATTTGTGTTCTTTCTCAAATTTGCTAAAATAATATAAGGACATTTTGGCTGAAATGAACACATTTTAAAGAGGATTTTGTGTTTATAAAGAGCAGCATCTTTTCCATAAAGACAAACACAGTGAAGACTTTTTAATCAGCTGTGTATAGTGTGCCATTCAACTACTKTTGGTATTTAGATAATACCATAGGTTCAAATGATATCAAGGAGTTCAAAATCCAAGCTCAGAATAAATACCTGAGAGCTGTTCTGTGTCTTTGTTTTTTTTTTTAAGAGGGGCTGGATCCAAGTCTGGATTGGGACTCTGTTCAGGGCTGCTGTATTAGAGAGCTGGAGCTGAGGCCGGAGCCTTCAGCTGCTCTCCCGCAATTAGGCCWGGCTGTTGCTAGGAGCCCTGCGTTAGGCTGCTGAAGGACCTCTCGGCTGACGGTGTTTAATTCCCTGCGTGCTGTYGAGGGCATCATTTTCTTAGCAACAGTTGGAATGCATCTCATGATAAAAGGAGGAATTTGTCACTGAAAACAAAGCCGATGAGAACATCTTTTTCTTATGTTTGTAATGAAAACGGATGGGAAGATAAATCCCACATTGTCAGGGAAAGCAGAAGAAAGAAATACACAAGCAATCCACAGGAATRCATATATGTATATAAACATATAAATATTGCAATTACACTTAGGTGTTTAAAGATTGTTTCGTGTCTCTCCAGATTTCCTCTTGTCTAGACCAAAAATATTATTATGAGGCCAGGTGAGCAAGAGATCTGATTAATGATGAGCTCTGCTACTGGGTGACCTCTTACTCTAAGATGGGGACATTGGGACTCCCTATGCCCCATTACTTGTCTGTCTGGTATTGAGATTCTAAGTGCACATCCCTTGTTATGTGTTTGTACAAAGTCTGGCATAACAGAGCTAAGATTATACTTACAGCCTTAGTAGTGCTGCTGCAAAATAATAATATTATCAGCTTTTTTTTCTTTCCTCTGTCAAATGTCTTCCTGGAAGGCACAACTTTCTCACTGTAGGTTTCTCAATAGCCTCTGCCTTCAGCTTGTCTCATTTTAACTGAAATAGCCTGTAAGGCTCCACCTAGATCTCAAAAGCTGCCTATGTTGGGAAGAGTTTTTTGAGTGATTTATAACCCAATTTTCAAAGATGACCATTAAACAGCTTTTGCAACAGGAGTCKTGGATATTTTTGCATGAATAAATCTGAAGTTTGTGGCTATCCATCAGCCTATTGCATTGAGTACAGAATTATTAGCTGTAAAGACTAGAAACATGAACAAAATCCAAAAGAGACTGTTTCACCATCCCAAATAAATCATCATAATCRAAATTAAAAAAGCTTCAGGATAAATAATGATTGCTCCGATCATTTTTCTTGTCCACATGGCTGTAATTGTACTGTCTGTTCCTAAAAAACCTGACACTTAAAGTCTGCTTTTTTTTTTTTATAGATTGCTTACTCTGTGCATCAGCCCACAAGAAGCCATCCAAAACATCTGTGTTTTTATAGTGGATTTTGATTGACATAAGTCCCATGGAGAATTATAGTGTGTTTATAAATCTTTACTGTTCAGCTCAGGCTGGTATGGTTAGTAAATGAAAACACTTTGGCTTAAGTTTAAGGCTAGAATAATCACTTGTGGCTCACAGCAGAAAGAGCAAATCAGTTCCATTTCATGCTGAGAGGGATCAAAGGAAATTATCAGGTAAATGATGCTTCCTAAATGGYTCTGACAGCTCTTTGTCACGTGGCTAATGCTTTCTGTCTTATGTATGCAAAGTCCTAAAATTGAATGAAGACAGTAGAAGCATGTATATAAGAGAAAGTTTGACACACTTTGAATTTTGAACTTTTAATTTCATAAAATTGGAAACACCMTGTTTTTGTAAAGGTAGTGCTGAACATGAGTTTTACCACCAAGGTTCATGGCACATTTTTGGGTGACTTATGGGGAAACTATGTGGTTGCAGAGTTAGCAATCAAACTAAATTAATATACAGCTGCAAGACATGAGTGATTGTGGAACTGCAAATGAAGCAGAAGTTTGGACACAGCTAGAGCGCTCTATTAGTTGGTCACAAGTTTTCTAGATGTGATTTTAAGTATCAAAAAGAAATTTGGATGATACCACTCTGAAAAGTTTTACAAATAATTTCCTTAGAGCCAGGCAGCAGCTGTGTGAACTTAAACACTACAAATTAAAAAAGAAATAAAAGGTTTGCATTCACGTTTACACAATGGATTTACGTAAACAGTAACTAGAATGATGAACTATCTCTTTAGCTAACTGGGAACTTGCTTGTTACTCTGTTCCTCCTACTTTTTCTCAATATTAGTGGAAATGTTAAAAATACATATAATCAAAGTGGAAAAAACCCATGAGCTACATCTATATGAGAAAAGGCAATAAGAGAGTGCTGCAATCAGGCACTCCAGGTTGTGCTTTTTGTAAAGTTGTGACCTATATGTCTAATGCTTCTGGCACCAAGGTGGATCAGGTCACTGTCCTATGCGGTTGTACCCATAGAGTGGCATCAGCCCCACAATAGGAAATAGGAACCAAAGCACACTTGGGCAAGCAGCATATCACTTCTTCCATGTGGCTTTCTGAAATGCTCATCTGAAATCACCAAGTAGTATCATCACATGTKAATAAAATTAGAGCAGAGTGAGTGTGAGGGCTGACGGCATCCAGAGTCATGAGACTTCAGTTCTGTGCAGTGGCAGCTTTGCACATTGCGCAAGTAAAATGGATCTGTCTTGTACAGTCCCTGCTGTGAAATTCTCCCTCAATTTCCTTTTTA